AGTTGAAGTCCACACATCTTAAAGTTGCTGAGGTTGAGAAACACCAGAATAGAGGAAGTTTACAGCAGAAATGGGGACCCCAGAGCAGGGCAGAAATGCATCATTTTCAGCCTGGTAGCAATGCAAAGTCCTGCGTGACACAAGCTGGTCACCCCTGCCCTAGATTTATTTATTTTTTAATTAAAACTTTTTCTTGTTGGGCAATTGTTTGTTGGCCCAATTTTCTTGTTGGGCAACAGAAGCAGCCTCTGTTGTTTCGTTTCTTTATTGGGTTTTTTCCAAAGGTTTATGGTTCTCTGCAGTGGTGCCCACAGTCCTCCCCCTTCTGATATGATCCCCACCCTCACAACCCTGTGATGTAGGTTGGGCTCAGAGTGATAGACTGGCCCACAAGCTGAGGGGAGATATGCACCTGGCTCTCCCCAGTCCGACATCCTCATTGCTAAGTGGCACCGATTTCATCACCAGCGTCCTCTTGAAAGTATTGCCCTGTGTCTGAAGGGTAAGGCCATCCAGGGTAGCAGCTGGATGCATCCCTGATGAGACGGGAGCTTTAGACAGATCAGCCCAGACAGGCTTCTGCTGGAAGCGTCTTCAGAAACTGGAGCTCATTTTTGTCCTCTGCTGGACCCTCAGGCAAGAACTCCCTGCCTCTCTTTGGGGAGGATCCTCCCTTTCTCAATGTCTCTCTTTACCTGGCAGAGTGATGAGTTCCCAGCTTCAGGTGTTATGCAAGCAGCACCCCTCCTCGGTCATGGACCTGTCCAAGCAGCTTCTGGAGTTTTCGGGAACAGTTTCCAACATTCAAACCAAGGAGGACCTCTTCACTCACGTGGTAAGGCGATAGCTGCACGTCCCAGAGAGTGGGGCCCCCAAATGTCCTCTAGCCCTTTTCCATAAGGAAGCTAAAGTCATCCTTGAATTTAGTGATTTTTCTGATCCTGCAGAACTATGACTTCCAGCCTCCCTCCCTGTTGATGGAGGCAGCTGGGAGTGGCGGTGCTGGTGATTGTATTCCATTTCTATCCTGCCAGCCTGGACCATTGAACAGTTGCAATTCAGCCACAGCTGGTCAACCCCACGAGTAGTTGCCTTACTGTTTCTAGCCCTTCAAGTGAGAAAGGAGGCCTGAATGGACCATCCTTCCTTGTCGGTCATGTTTTCCTCTAGGTCTGGGCCATTGGTGAATATGCATCAGTGTCGCATGATAAAAGGTGCACGGTGGAGCAGATCAACACCTTCTTTGAAGTTCTGGAAGCCATGCTCTTCGAGATCACCCAGCTGCGACCCTCAGCTAACATCCCCAAGTACTCCCCCCGTGTGATTGCGGTCCTCATGACTGCATTGACCAAGCTAGCATCTCGCAGCCAGGACCTGATCCCCAGGTTTGAATGGGCTCTGAGGAGCCTCTCTACCTCATTTGCTTGCAGGGACACAGCTCTTGATCTCTAGGGCAGCATTATGTGGGTTCAGATGCATGCATCACATTCCCAGATTTAAACTCCGGGTTCTCGGATATCAAGGCCTGGAAGACCTAAGATCTTTGCCAATCTATTTCCAGTCTTGAGAATACCATGGAGTTATCTCCATGTGTGGAAACTTGTAACCTTCCAGCCATAATAGAACTCCAATCCCCATCGCTCCTGCTGAAGATGATGGACATTGGAATTCCACTAACATCTGGGGGAACATGATCAAAGTCACCTGCTTTAGAATAAAACAGCTTCCTGTGTCTTTTGCCAGAATTCCTGCTCCCACACCAGTACTGATTCTATAAACCCATGCTCTTCGTTCAAAATGACTTTGTTTGTTTTGGCCTCCATGCAGAGTTTCTCTCTTCCTGTCTAAGATGAAGATATTTATCCAGACCCCAGCCGTTTCCTCTGGGTACAGCGCTGAAGATGTGGAAGCGATCCTATCCCGGGCTACAGAACTGACGAACTTACTGAAAATGCCCAGCGTGGCTCAGTTTGTGCTAAGGCCATCGTCCGAGGACCAACGTCACCGGGAGACCCACATCCCTTTGCTGCTTGCCATGAAGATGACCAGCCAGCTTTTGGAAGGAGGAACTGGATCTGTTCCTGGGTGAGGAAGCCCTCAAGACAAACCTAATGATATTAAGGGTCTCTTCCTGGTGGGGGTAGATCTTGCTTGTGCCTTCTCCATTTCTGAGGACTCTTAAGGCCCTTCTTCACCGTCCCCCAGCATCCTTGGGTGTCTTTACCATTGATGGCACGCGTTCCCTGCATCGGTACATCTTGCACCTTAGTTTATTAAAAGCATTAATAGTATACGCATCCTCCTCTAGCTTTAGCTGGGTTAAACGAACAAAGTGTCCTTCACTGATTAGTGACCTTGGGAAGGAGCTGGCCCAAGGAAGAAGCCTCCCAGGTCCACCTCTGGGAGAGTTGGCCTCTGGATTCCCAGTAGCGAGGGGAGAAGAGCAAACGCTGTATGATCCCTCAAGGACCAGCTTCCCTCCCCCTTCTGAGTTGATCTGGGTCCAGATAAAAGATGGGTCTCTCATTCCATGCCTGACTATAACAATACGGTAGGTTAGTCCCAACTGGTTATTCCTTGTCTCCACCCCACCCCCACCCCTTAAATGGGTTTGGAAGCACAGACTTGAACACAGCGATGCATTACGTTCTCCCTTTACTTCATCACATTCTTCATCACAGAAGGTAGCAGTTGGAATTCACCCACCTAACGTCCTTTGCCACATTACAACTATATACATTCCCCACCCACCTCCAAGATGCAGAGCAGATGAAGAAATACGAGCATGGGAAGGCGGTCGCCCTTAGCTCTTTACAAGCCAAAGATTCTCATTCTGTGGAAAAGGAACTGGCAACCTCTATTTCCCCCTTCAGTTTTCAGGAAATGGTTGTGAAATTTGCCTGGACAATGGTAACACGTCTGCTGTTTCTCGGGGTGAGCAGAATCCTGGGAGGCAAGTTTATGATCGATCGGTTGACTCTATGGATCTTGTTTACCGCTTTGTCAATAGCACCAGAGCTGTGAAGGGAGGGGATTTGTGGTTCAGGAAGGATGGAAGAGCCACAGGGAGTCCCCGGGTTAAGAACACCCGGGTTACAGACAACCCATAGTTAAGAATGGAACCTGTTGTAGCAAAATTCGAGTTAAATACACAATGATTCGAGTTAAATACACAATGGTTCGAGTTCACAATACAGCTTATACAGTATTATACCATAATACTGTTCCAGCTTATGTACAATTCGACTTAAGGACAGACTTTGGGAACGGAACTCGTTCCTAAACTGGGGACTACCTGTAGATACTGCTGAGTATTTGTTGTTGGAGACAAACAGAAGAGATGGACTATTGGTTGCAGTCCTGCAAAGAACTTGATATTAGCATAGAACAAAACAACCCTTGGCTTAGCTGAAGTACAGGAAAGGGCTGGGGGAAAAAATCCAGCAAATTTGGAGAGGTTGCCCCCACCACCTCAGTCTTGCCATCCACTTCTACGTGTCTTTTTAAGTGCAGACACCACCTGAATTTGCTGTTTTGAGCAGGATCTCTCAGCCACTTCTGTTGTCCACGACTTCCCACCTTTCAGATCGAGTTAAGACTACTCTTCCAGCCTCCCCCAACCTAGGCCCCCTCCAATCCAATCCAATCCAGTTGGATTGCCAATTCCCAAGAATTCCCCAGATAGCACTGATCCCTTGATCCTGAAAACGTTGGCATTTTAAAACTAAAGCATCTGGATAGCACCAAGGTTGGGGA